TACATAAACTCAAGTTATCTTTAAAAGTTGTTACTATTTTGTCAAAATCTCAAAAATACAAAAAAAAATTGAATTTTAATTACTGTAAAAATATCTATAGTTTAAATAATTGTCTTTTTGAAATAGAAAGTTTGTTAATCAATATTGCATATTGTAAATTTTTCGTGTGAGTTCAATATTCAGGTCTTAATAAAAAAAGTTATATATTATTTGATAACGATATGTATACTTGCGTAGTATCCCAATATATATATAAATTAAAAGGTTAAATTCTTATTTTCTTCAGGATTAAATTTTTTGTACTGTTGCAAAGTAAGGAAATATAAGTGAAAAATATAATAAAAAACATTATTATACTGTGCACATAAACAGTAAGCCGGGATCATGCGTCTCGTACCATCATGGGATATAATATGATTTTGACATGACCATGCATACACTAGTTCAGGTTGAATTGAACAAAAACATTGTTTTTTTAAATGAAGGTGCTCTTGGACATGAAAATGGGTGATGAATTTTATGGGTGGCAAATCAAGGTACAATATTCTAGTGGGGTCGGGCAAGGGATACGGTTTTGAAATGGGTGGAAAGAAAATGGAAATAAATAGTTTATAATTTATTTATTGTGGCCAAGTATATGACCCATCACAAAGTTAATCGACGATTAGTTTATAAATTTGTGAATGGCCATGAAAAGATCCATATATTTGACAAATAGTAACATAGATGGCCATCAGTGACAATAAGATTTCCACAAAATTTGTAACTTTGCTTAAACTATGATTTATTTAATATTTTTAAAATTTTAATAGTTGTTATTTCATAATTTGCATTTTGCAGTATTGTATAAAAATTTTTGCTTATGAGATAAAATATATTTAATTGTGATCCGTCGAAAGACAAATAGCACCGCTCACTATCATTTGTTATTCTTATAAGCATGATCTCCAAATGCCAAATCATTCATTACTAATCTTATAACTTTATTTGGGCCTCCATGTATTTTAACATATATTATAAGCTATTTGATTAGTGGTGTTTAGTTGAGATGTAATGTTTAAGTATTTAGTTCTATGTCATATTTGATAGCCCGATTCCAGAAGAAAATGCGAGTTATCATGATTATCTTCCAAATGGGAAGGAGTTAGTATAATTTTAAATTAGAAGGTATGGAAATATATAATGATAGAATACTAATGATAGGCCGGTTTATCATTATATGCTAAACTAATGATAGAATTGAAATAAAATTCTAATGGTAGGCCGGTGCGCTACTATCATTAGAATAGAATATGAGACTGATGATTGCTTATTACAAAATTTAAATTTTGATTTTTAATATTTATAGCATAACTAAGTGTTCATATTTCCAAGACGAATAGTATGAATACTAGATTTTGAGCTTTAATTATATGCTTCAACAAAAAAACATAATAAAAATTAATCATCTAAAATTAACAATATTCTTAAAATTTTCAAATTTAAGATTATTTTTCATTGTTTGGTGAAGTCCTCTACAAGATTCTTCTTGTTTAAATTGACAGGGACTAAGTGCTCGTTTGTGGCAGCTTATTAGGCTGCAGCAGCGTTTTTGTAAACGCCGTCGTACTGGCGTTCGTCCTGCTTAATCTTGCCGCTCCAAAATGCTGAGTGGGATAATAATATAGTTGTCCGCGTTCTGCATCTGCATAGCACGTTAGGATAAGATTTTTTTGTTCTGCCCTTCTCCGCTCTCCCTTGCTCTCGCCTTCCCGATCGAATTTTTTCCTCCTTACCCGCAACGAGATCGAAACCAAGGTAAAGATTTTTAACGAAATTTGCCAATATTGTCATCCCCAATCTTTCTTCTGCTCATTCTGTTGCAAACAACTTAACTAAACATGGGCAGCATGCTTATTTATTCAACAACAGCTGTCAGTAGGTTGTTCTGAATAAGCTGCCCCAAACAGCAAGTCAGTTTATTCTGTTAGTCTACAGATTATCAGATTATTAGAATAATCTATTTATCAACATATTATAAATAATCAACAGTTGCGCCAAACATATCATAAATTTAATTCTAAGGTCAAAATTCAATAAAAAAATTACAATTTTCTTCTGTCACCAAACCGATTAAAATTAACATTTTTTTTTCATTGAATGTGACTACATCTTCAATATTTTTGATTTTTTATTCCTCAAAAAATTAAAGAAAGCATGACAAAAGTTGAACTTTTTACAAACATTTTTCCGACTACATTTAACATCTTAAATTTTATTAGTCGTTAACGCCTTCCGAGTTAATGGTTCGTGTCGAAATGTAGAAGCATTAGTTTGGGAATTTCAAATTACCGTAGAATAATATCAACTATTTAATTTTAATCCTTTTTCATGTAGAACCATAAGGTGTTAATTAATGCTCTGTTGGGGTCAAAAAAGAAAATGCATATTGATGCGTGTTAGAAAATTTGTGGCGATAGAGTAATGGATTATCGTCTTAGCGTTGCACGAGAATTCAGCACAGACTCAGATAAAAATGAATCGAGCTGTGATCACACCAGAAATTTTTACGTGGAAAACCCGTAAAAAGGAGAAAAATCATGGGGTCTGGCCCAATTGTAAAAATCCACTATAAGTTGATGATTACAAATACCCCTTGTATTACAAATGCCCCTTGTCCCACAGGCGTGAAATGGTAACTAGCTTTCCACTTTACAACGTCAACTGATTACGTCTAGTAAGCGATGGTTGATGGAGGCCAACAGTGATCAACGGTAGTTGGAGACAATTGATGACGTCGGTGGTCGGCGACAGAGGTCAGCGGTGGCTGATGACGGACGGTGGTGGTTGACGGAGGTTAGTGGTGACTGGCGGCGATTAGCGGTGTCCGACGGGGGTCGACAGAAGTCAGCGGTGGCTGATGATGGACGGTGGTGGTTGACAGAGTCAAAGCCTCAAGTTCTCTCTTAAGTCTCTCCCCTTTCATGTGAGGGGTGAGGCTCTATTTATAGTGTTTTGAGTGCAATTAATGCAGGAATATGAATCCTTTCGATCGGACGGTCCGGAGAGCTCCCTTTGATCAGATGACATTTGATGGACATTTGAGTGCCTTAATGACGTTGGAATTGAGCAATATTAGGCTCGTTGGATTCGTCTTGTCGAGCCGCTCGATTTGAGT